GCAGACAGCTTGATAGTGCTAAAACTTAACCTCTGCACCACCAGGGAGCCCTTGTTTTCACTCTTGCTATACTCCAAGCCATCTTCCACACAGCCACAAGTGAGAGACCACCCTCATAGGCCCACCCCAGTTCCTAGGGTCCCAGCTTGTTCTAACTGGAACTGAAGGCCTGATCTCAGCTACTCCCTTTGACTCTGTGTGTTACATTGCCTCTGGGTGACCCTACTTTTCACGCCTCCTCCAAAACTCTGAAGCAGTGACCCTTAAGACAAATCCCCAGGACTGCAGTGACTCCATGAGATATGAGCATTTCTGAGGCTCGTGTAAGGTACATACTCACTTCTGGTTTCTCTACAGGTTGAAGATACTGATGCTACTAGCTATGCCGCAGTATAAACTGTGGTGGGTGGGGGAGGAATTCCAGTTTGCTTTAAGGTCAAACACTTTATAAAAGCTCACTCACAAAATACAGTGATTTATTGTTGCAAGAACAATCAGATAGAATTTGGGGTTAAGTGTGGAGTAAAAAAACAAAACCCAAAACAACAAAGTGCATTGTTTTTTTTGCCACACGCAATTCCTGTTATCGCTTCTGCACACTGCAGGCAGTATCTTTAACAGTCAGCAGGTGGCAGAGTTTACACAGGCCAGGGAAGATTTACGCTGGTCCAGCAAACCCTCTTCTGCGTAGAGAGGATTCTGCTCCAGTTGAGGGTGTCAGCCCAGTGGCCACTGATAGAATTTCTGGGGGGAGGTGGGAAAGGCACTCATGGCGAGCCCCTGGCAGGAAGCTGGGTGTTTGGGTTTCTGTTCTGCCCTGCCTCAGTGTGGTGATGGTTTCTTTCTTGAGGCCATGGGCTTGCACATTTTGCTCAGCCACCACAGGGGAAGCATCCTGCACGAGGGGGTGTGTCTCAGCCCATTGGCTGTTATCTGGAAGATGACGGCAATGCAAAGCTCAAGGCAGCCCTGTGTGCCCATGGACAGCTGGGTAATACTTTTAAAAACATAAGTTCTGGGCCCTCTCTGGTGGCGCAATGGGTTAAAGCGCATCACTATGACTCTGTCAGCAGCCACTGCAGCATGAGTTGGGGGGTGGTGACCCACATGACACAGCAGACCTCTCCTGGCCCTCCCACTGCTTCCCTCAGCAGTGGGGAGCCTGTTCTGCTACCCACTCTGTCTCTGGTGAAACCTCTCACCCCCCAGACCTCTGGCCTGTACCCCAGTTCTATATGTATAAATTAATATATATATATAGGTCACTGTGCTGCAGAAAATTCTGTTGACCACAGTGGATCAGTTTGGGCTTGTTTTAAATTAACACTGCTTTGTGGAAGGATCTGGGGCTTTGGAGAGAGAAGAGGTAGAGCAACAGGCAAATGCTAGAATGGAGTGAGGTTACTTCCTGATAGTCACTGACCTGTTTACCTGGGCACTGTTTTGGTGACTGACATCACACTTAATGATGGTGGTGTCCAGGGTCAGTAGGAATCGTGACAAAAAATTTCAGATATGGATTCTGGGTCCTGAACTTCTCCCATTTGTCTCGGAAAAAGAGATATAGATCACTTACTTGTGTCTGTGGTTTCTTTCCTAATATGTCTCTGACTCTCAAACTTTTATGGGGCTTCTTTGGACTATGTAGTAGGCAGAAATGGCACAAAATAAATGTACAGTATAATTACAAGCATTGCAAGGCAAAGTAGGTTGCAAATACTGGACAGAAATATTGTGTCCACATAGCCTACTGCCAGGAACTGCATCATGGCTTTTCAGACAACCCCTTGTGCCATCAGGGAGGCCCTGACTTAGAATTATTGACATTAACTTGATGCCCTGGGTGAGGTCTTGTGAGGTTTCTCCACGGTAAATGTACTTTTTCTTCTCCTTTTATTACACTATGTCCTTGTCAAGGGAGCAGGCACAGCTCACATGTGAGGGCAGAGTACCTATACAGATTTTTGGAAATACTTATGAGAGAGACTTTTTCCCACTTATTAATTCATGTGTCTCAGCCATGTATTTGTATCAGTACGGATCGATGACTATCTTACACTTTGGGTTTATAATACAGTACTGCTTTACCTTTTTTACATTGTTCTGGATTTTGCTATTGCAAATTCTTTGAATATTAGTTGCTATGCTTCTTTGAAATGAACCATCAGTGTGGCACTGCAAGAGACTCCAGGCTCATCTTGGGTATCAATATTTCCTGCCCCAGTTCCACCAGCAGCCATTTTTCCAGGGAACCTTGGTTCCTCCAATAAAAGAAGGGTACTAGAAACCAAGATATGAGTGTGAGGTGGAGTCCATGTTACTGAGGTGTCATATCTTTTAGACACTCTTAGATACAAAGATATATATGTCTGGATTATACATATTTGCATATATAAATATAGTATTTTTATTAAAAAGAATTCAAACTGATGTTTCTATTTTGTTTAATACTGCGCTCATAAAATGAGTTAAGTTCTCTTTATTTTATGAAGGGATTTGAAAGCATTTGTATTGTTTCCTCCTTAAATATTTGATAAAAATTGTTTCAGTGGAAACACTGAAAGCCCCGAAGGGATTTTGAAATCAAGATTGATGGTTCTGACTCAATATATTCCAACATATATTAATATTTTGTCTTTTATTCTTTAATATGTTAATTAATTTCTAGCAATTCTTGATTTCTTGGCATAAATATATTTACTAATGGCATGTATATGTAGGCATGCTTGTGTATATTTGTGTATATAGTCATCAATAACTATGATTACAAGTGAAATCTGTATAAAAGAAAATATTGAGAGCAAACAAAATGTTCAACAATATATGGTAAGATAGCATACCATTCAGTTATTTAAATGTCTTAATAAATAATTCCTACTTCATTGAGGATTACAAAACAGTGCCCGGGGGCCTCCCTGGTGGTGCAGGGGTTAAAGACAGTGCCATCAAGCTATAGCCAGACACTGCAGCATGGGTTTCATCCCAGGCTAGCTAGGGAGCTCACCCACTTGGCCCCACAGACCTCTCCTTCCTCTCCCACTGCACCCCTCAGTCCACCTGTTCTGCTCTATTCTGACTCTGGTGCATTCTCTCATCCCTTTCCCCCTGCACCCCCTGCCCTCTTCTGGCTTATAGCCCTGTTCTTGTATGCATAAATAAATATATCTTTGTTTTTAAAGTCCTGTTTACTAATGGTAACCATTATCACTGACACCATTAATGAAAAAATTACTTGGTGTTTGATATGATGACAATATAAATGTGGGAATGTTAACTCTCTTGTTTTCCTCAACAGACTTAATTATTTGATCAAATATGACTGTGTGTTGAAAGGAGTGGGCTAGTTAGATCTGGTTTTTGGAGAAGTCCAACCTATAGCGCCGTTTTGTGTTCTTATACTGACAATTCAGGTAAGGGATCTCAGATCTCATCACCTTAAATTCAGAAATTCTGCTCCTAAGATTTAGCAAATATTCAAAGTCACAATGATATTGATTCAAAATATTCAGCGCAGTGTGGAGTGTGGCTTTACTGAGTGATTTGGCAACACCTTCTCGAGCTCAGCCTGTCTTGCTCCCCATTGCCTTTGGGCAATCTGCTGTCTTCGTCCTGCCAGGCACTGCCTGCTCAATGTTTCCCCGGGGAGCTCACTTTCAGCATCCAACTTCCCAGCCCACTTTGCCTGGCTTCTACCTCTGCTCAGTGCAATGCAATTACTCTCTAGTCTTCCAGGTCACTCAGTCTCCTCAGAGATACATACAGAACCTCAGGGCTCCATCCCATTTTTCTGTCTCCTGAGGGGTTTGGGGGGACAATGGTGATATGTCATGGTACAGAGGGATGTCAAACCAGGTGCCACAGCTCAACATAACTTTCTGTTCCTTACTGGGCTCAAGAGGAGTATCCTCCCTACTTGAACTTTGGATGTCAAATTTTCTCCCCATGCTACTGGCTTAAGTGACCCTCCTGGCTCTGTGGATGTCTGTCAACATCAGTTGCTTCGACTTATAATTCTTTTTCCTATATTCTGGCTGTCTTAACAATTGTGTGTCTCCCACTGCAGCTATGATGGAATTTCTGTATCTCTACTATGGCACATGCAGGCACGGGAGTTTGCTGTTCTAGGTAGACCCTTCATTGCCTCCACACCCACAGTCTACCTTACTCCATGTTCAGCAAGAGTCCTCTAAGGTATAGAATCCTCTAAATATCCCAAATGGGGCCCTCCCCAGTGGCATAAAGGGTTAAAGCACAGAACTATGAAGCTATCTGCAGCACGAGTTTGATCCTCCGCCGGGGAGGTGACCCAAATGGCACAGCAGACCTCTCCTGTCTTGCCCACTGCTCCCCTCAGCAGTGTATTTTGGTCACTCTACCTGTTCTGCTCCTCACTCTGTCTCTGGTGGATCTTCTCACCGCCTCCCTCCACCACCTCTGGCCTGTACCACAGAGGTATATAAATATGCATACATAAATGAATCTTTACAAAACAATATTCCCAAATGGGATTTTCATGTACAAGGCTGTGTTTAGAATTTCTCTTGAGTATCTAGGATTCTGATAGAACTTCCTCAATTTGTTCATTCCTTAGAGGATGTAACGAGGCACTCCTAGTGGTGTGGTTATTTGCTATTATGAGAGAAGATAACTGAGGACAAACTCTCATGCAGAGATTTGCAGCAATGTAAGTAATGCAGAGATATTGAGTTGGAGCCTTGATCAAACTGTATCTGAAAACCCCCACCATGCCCAGTTATACTTACATGAACCAATAATTTCTTTTTGCTGTTGATATCAACTTGAGTGTTTTACTGTATTTTATGGAAATTTACAGGATCCAGCAGAAAATTACAATTACTGCTAATAATTTAAAACCAATCAAGATGTCCTAAATTATACAATTTATACTAAAACTATATAAATATATATTTTTATTTTTTGTTTAATCCTTTGTTGGCAGCAAAACTGTTTCATTAGGCATTATACAGGAAGACTTAAAATTAGCAAATTTTCTTTAGGAATACATGGATTCCATTCTTGGCCTTGAGAGCAATTTGGCGTATGAATATGGGAGGTCTGGAGTGGTCTAGAGTCAATTCGAAGCGGAGCAGGATCAAGGCCAGGGCAACTTTGCACTCGATCATGGCAAAATGCTGACCAATGCAATTCCTGGAGAGAACAAGGAGGAAAAATGGTAGCTGGTGAATGAATAGGTTATTAGAAACCTAAGATAATCTTTTCGTATGTGACAACTTTTACTGGGAAACTTGAAGATGATTCCATGTTTGTGGCAGAATCTGGTAAAGGTTTTATCTTAATTTGCCCAGTTATAAAGTGCTTTAGTGTCAATGCTTTGAAACATTGCTCCTATCCTATTTGTGACCATTCTACTAAATGATGAGCAATAGTATCAAGTTGATTCTGCATGATCCAAAGTTCTAGACTCTTTCCCCTAGATTATGATAAAGACAAGCTAGTTCTTCTTATTATTTAGAAATATCTGGAGTGTACATCTCAGTCATGAGACTATTAAGCCTGGCCTATTCAGTGGCTTAGGCTATCATTTGTTACAGTAAAATTTTCTTATGCCATGTGGTAAAGGGGATTTTGGAACAGACTAACACTGTCCCTACAGGAACAAGAGGTGTGAGGCCAGGCCTGCCGTGTCCCTTCAGCGAGGTGGTATTCCCAGCCCTCGTCTGCTGTAGGCTGAAGAGGAGTTCAGGGCTACTGTACATGCCCATATATTAAGAAGCAGAGTTGTGCTTTGTGATAGCATATTTTCTTTGGGGCTCATCCAAACTCAAAGGCCACAAAAGAAGCATAGGAAAATGGTGGGGAGCTGCAGATAGGCCAACTAGCTGAGGGCCTTCATGAACGAACTTTTGTCAGGTGAACACTATTATTTCTTTCCATCAAGTTCACCACCCAAGTCTTTACCTATGTCCAGCAGAGAACGGTAGGAAGGCATAGGGGTGTCTTTTTTCAGAATTTTCCTTGGAGAATCTCAAGGGGTTAAAGACCTGTAACGAAAATGACAGTCCCCAATCCCCACCCCCCCAAAAAATCCTCATGCATATTGTTAACAAGTCCAAAAGTTTAGGAATTTACAAAGGCTGGATACTATAGCCCAACATCTGCCACTGAAAACACCTGGAGCAAGCAAGCACTGTAAACTATTGACAGATTGAACAGGTCATGATAGTTAAACACAGCAGTGAGTCATGAAGACAAGGCTTAATGATCAGCCTTGACAAGGCTATTGACCTCACTATCTTCCCTTTATAGTAAGTAAGTGCCTTTATCATAGAAACCTGACAATCACATTTTTAACTTTTTCCTTTGCCTTATTTCCCAATGAACTGAGCTCATGACTTTGGCAAAGCACAGGGCCACGCTGGCCACCTGGCTCCTGCCCCAGGCTCCTGCCTGCCTCCTGCCTCCAGATGGTGCTTCTTTGATTATGAACAGTAAGAAATTCCTTGCAAGACATCCCAGTCCATGATGAGTTTGACTACATTAGGGAATATCAGCAGGACACAGGGGGTTAGACAGCACAGTCTCAATCCGCCTTCCACCCCATTCTTCTGACCTCCCAACTTCCTGAAAGGAGCTGACAGGCTTCTGGTGAGGAGTCTCAGCGTGAAATATCAGCAATGATAATAAATGGGAGCCCACTTTTCTCTTAAGAATAGAGGGTTTTGGTTCTGTTTCGTTCTTCCCTACAGGTGGCTATGCCCTCCACTGTGGATATGCTTCTCTTCCTTCTTGACTTGTTCTTGCTTAGAGACATTGGGTGGGATTTGGTATAATCTTACTTGAGGGTCTTCCCAGACAGTGGGGTTTCGGTGAAGAGCCCAAATACTGAGAAACACGGCTATTCCTGAGTAAACAGAGAAAAAAGGGAGAAAGCATATGAGCTAAGATTCTGTTACAGCCTCACCCATTTGTGAATTTCTTAATTAAGGTGAAGAATTACACATTCACCATTTACTTAATTATTTGAGAAGTGTTCATTGTAGAGACCCACTGTCAACCCTAAGGAGGACAATAGGATCAGCCTTCAGGGAGCTCAGGC